AGACTCACACAGGTACAGACTCACCGACAACCGACACCGTCTGTCTGACTGTCTGTCTGCTGACCGCGCTGCATGACGGATTTAAGTGAGATTTAATGGTAGTAGACGCTGTAATAATAATAATAATAATAATAATAATAACAGACTGTAACATTAACGGCCTGTTAGACTGAACTTATTGATTATTGAACTGTGGATATGAATGTATTGATGGAGGATGGCTGCAGGTTAAATCAGAAAACAGTCTGCTTACATTAATTCTACCGATCTATAGATAATTATTCATCCAGAGGGACATTTAGTAATATTAAATATTAAAGTCTGACATTAACCAATCACACATGATTATGAAGATATTTTAACTCACAAACATTATTGCGGCACATTAATAATAAATAATATATCTATAGGTGATTTTAGAAATACATTTAAAATAAAACATTGATTTATTTACAAGACATTTTTATAAAATGTTATTTTTTTAAGTGAAACCGATCACGGAGTGAACACAATGAGACCAGAACAGTAACTGGTACCCTAACAATAATATTAATAATAATAATAATAATAATAATAATAATAATCATCTATGACTGATCTCTAGTCTGACTGATTAGAATCAAATTAATCTCTGACAGGAAGCAGTCATCATGCTTTGAGGTTGTGACCTCGCCGGCTCTGTGACCACGAGGAGGAAGAGGAGATGGCGGCTGAACTTTTCTCCACCAGCCTCCCTCACAGTAACGAGGTGGAGGTGAAGAAAAGTTTCATCCAGCCGAGTGAACCGGAGCCAACGGCCAGTAACTACAATGACGGCGACGACAACGGAGTGGGCGTTCAACCGAACATCAACAACAACGAGAGAGAGGAGAGAGACGGCTGGCAGGAAGCACAGCCCACACTGAGAGAGAGGTCAGCACAATACTCTGCTCTGATTGGACGGCAGGGACACCCGCCGTGTGTCCGTAATGTCCCTTCTGTAATGAACCACACAGTCAGTCAGTCAGTCTGTCCTGTGTTCAGGTTCTCATTAAACTACAGGAGAGTCTGATCTCACTGGACATCAACAGTAGCTCCACATTTCTCCCACAGAGACGTTCAGAAAGCGTTTCTGTTTGTTAGCAGTGAAGTTTGACTCTCTGGAGACAAATGTATTTATGTATTTATGAGGGAGGGACACTATTTTACTGGTTTACAGTTTCTGATAATGAAAAACACACGCAGTGTTCATCTGATAATTAATGAATTACTGATGAATGCAATACAATGAAATATAGTTTCAGTCATTAAAAACCTTCTGATGCAGTTTTTTGTTTGTTTTACTGCAGAAATGCTCTGATGTTCAACAATGAGCAGATGGCTGATGTTCACTTCATCGTCGGCCCTCCAGGAGACACTCAGAGAATTCCTGCTCATAAGGTACAAAGACCTGGACCAACACTGAACCAGGGTCTCTAATTACACCTTCAACGGACCTGTGTTTCCTCTTTGTGTCCTCTGTGGTTAAGGCCTCTGATTGGCTGTCTCTCTCTGTGTTGCAGTACGTCCTGGCCGTGGGCAGCTCTGTCTTTGGGGCCATGTTCTATGGAGATCTGGCTGAGGGACAATCTGAGATCCACATCCCTGATGTAGAGCCAGCTGCATTCCTGATTCTGTTAAAGTAAGTCGAGTCCTGAGACCAGTTCATATCCAGTTGATCTGACAACAGACACTAGTGCCAGCTCTGGTCTGGTTCAAGATCTGGTTCAGAGTTGGTTTGGAACTTGGAACTGGTTTGCTTTTCCACAGGCTAGAGAACCACATCATTATGTCACTATATACGACTTCAACATTAGCTGTGGTTACCAAGGTTACACTAGCTGGCTTACTAGCTAGCTGTTGGTCAGCTAACATTAGCCAAGCTAGCATAGCTACTAATTTATCTGACCTCAAACATAACATCAAAGTTAACGTTGGCGTGAGCTATGCTAGCTTGGCTAATGTTAGCTTAGCTAAGTCAATGTTACATCTATGTGCTAACAGCTAGCTGCCCACAACGCACTCCAGACCCGTTATAGTGGGAGAACCAGTTCGAGAGTGAAGCTCCAAACCAACCCTCAAACTGGCAGGTAGAGAGGCGGTATCAATATCAGTATCAATATCAGTATTTAATATCAATATCGTATCAATATCAAATATCAGTTATTCAATATCAAATATCAGTATTAATATCAAGTATTAATATCAGTATTAATATTCCAGTATCAGTATCAATATCAGTACTTAATATCAGGTATTAATATCAATATCATATTAATATCAGTATTTAATATCAATATCCAGTATCAATATCAATATAATATCAGTATAATATCAATATAATATCAGTATTAATCAATATAATATCAGTATTAAATAATAAATATCAAATCAGTATTAATACAATATCAGTATCAATATCAGTAATTAATAAAAATATCAATATCAATATAATATCACTATTAATATCAATATCAGTATCAATATCAGGTATTAATATCAATATCAAAAATCAGTATAATATCAATATCAAATAATTATCAATATCATATTAATATCAGTATTAATATCAAATCAGTATCAATACAGTATTAATATCAATATCAAAAAATCAGTATCAATATCAAAAATTCAGTATCAATAATCAATATTCAGTATCAATATCAATATTTAATATCAGTATTAATATCAATATCAATATCAGTATTCAATATAAATATCAATATCAGTATTAATATAAATATCAAAAATCAGTATTAATATCAATATCAGATATCAATACAGGTATTTAATATCAATATCAAAATCAGTATTATATCAATATCAAAATCAGTATTATATCAATATCAGTTATCACTATTTAATATCAGTATTAATATCAATATCAGTATCAATATCAGTATCAATAATCAGTATTAGATATCAGTATCAATTCAGATTAATATCAGTATCACTATCAATAATCAATATCAGTATCCAATATCAGTATTAATATCAGTCAGTTGAATATAATATCAAAATCAGTATTAATATCAATATCAATATCAGTATTTTAATATCAATATCAGTATCAATATCAGCTATTAATTATCAGTATTTAATATCAATATCAATATCAGTATTAATATAAGTATCAAATATCAGTATTAATATCAGTATTAATATCAGATTAATATCAATATCAAAATCAGTTTAATATAGTATCCACTATCAATATCAAATTCAGTATTAATATCAAATCAATCAATCAATATCAGGTATTAATATCACTTATCACTATCAATATCAATCAATCAATATCAGGTTTATAATCAGTATCACATATCAATATCAATTTATATTAATATCAATCAATCAATATCAGTATTGTCGTTACTGCTGCTGAACGGAGGGATTTCGTGACGCCATTGGCCAGCCCGAGGAAGGGCGGGAGAAAGCTGCCAGCTTCTCAGGAGTTTGGCTCCGCCCACCTGGGTCATTCTGCAGGTTAACTGGGAAAAAAACAACAACAACAGACCAATCAATAAATCAATCAATCAATATATATTTATCAATATATAATCAATCAACCAATAAATCAGTAAATTTATATCAATCAATCAATAAGTCAATCAATATTATTAATCAATATATCATCAATCAACCAATAAATCAGTAAATCAATAAATCAATATATCACTATATATCAATCAAATTCCAATATATCAATCAATAATCAATCTGATCAGGACGTGGTGTATGTCCTGGACCCGGGTCCTGGCGTGCTGGTGCGGATGGTCAGCGTATGCGGGTAACTGCATGGCGGCAAGGGAGCCAGCAGCGGCGCTCCTCTGGACAGGGGCTGGGGTGTCCTAGGTCTGGACCGCCTGGCCCCTGGGGGAGGACCGGGACACGGCCACACCGGGCCGGACCAGCTGACCCAACGTCGGGGCTGCGGGGACAGGAACAGCGGCGGTCAGGTCGGTGGATCATAACCAGAGTTATTGATTATTGATTGATGGGAGACCTACCACTGGATCAGAGTGGAGCCGGCTGAACCGTTTCGGACCGGGGCTGCAAGGTTGGAGCAGCAGGGGGGCGCCTGGTTCACCACCCGTCTGCACCGGGAACCCTGTAGGTGACATCACAGTGACATCACAGGTGACGTCACAGTGACGTCACAGTGACATCACAGTGGACATCACAGTGGACAATTCAAAGCCTGAATAATAACTTTATAGATAACTTCCTGTTTTCTGATATTTACATTAATTTAGAATATATAATACATTATAATTTAATAATTAGATATATATTATATATATAAAAAATATATAAATATATATATTATTATAATTTATATATATACTATATCATATATTATATATAAATATATACTATCTATATCATATTATTATATTTATATAATATATATATATATTTTATATATAAATATATATATATAAATATATATATTTATATAATATTATATATATATAATATATATAAAATATATATATATAAATATATATATTCATTATATATATTATTTATATATATATTTATATATTAAATACTATATTATATAAATATATATATTATTATATATTTTATTATATATATTTATATATTAATATATAAATACTAATATAAATATATATTATTATATATATATATATATAAATAATAATATATATATAAATATTTATATATATATATAAATATATAATATATAATATATATAAAATATTATATATATTAAATATATATATATATATCATATATATTATATATATAAATATTATATATAAATATATATTTATTATATATATATATATATATATATTATTTTATTATTTATTATTAATTATTATATTATATATTATTAATTATGTATTGGTTCAAAGAAACTACAAACAAAATGGAGTAACCAGACTGTGTGTTACTATCTTTCAAGGTATGTGTGTGTCTCAGTGTTTTGTTGTACCTGTTGTGTTGTTGAGGAGGGTAAATGGGCTGTGGCCCTCCCTGAATTCCCCCCGGTGGCGCTTGGGAGAAGAATTTTGTCCCCTATTCTAGGAGAGGGCGAGCTGAGCCATTTCAGTGTTGTGGATTGTTGGCTGGGAAGCGGGGGGAGGAGTTGAGAGATAGGAGGAGGCATCACAGAGGAGGAGCGATTTTCATGTGAAGAGGGAGCAGAATCTGAGGAGGAAGAAACCAACGTTTAAATGTTTGTGCACACACACACACACTGACACAACAAACCACACTGACACACACAGGACAACACAGACACACAGAACAGCACCACCAAACACACACACAGACACCACACACACACCACACACAGACACAACACACAGAACACACACTGACACACAGACACACACACACAAACAACACACAGACACACACACACACACACACACAGACACACACACACAGCACACACACAGACACACACACACACACAACACACACACCACACCAGACACCACACAACACAGACCAACAAACACACACAGACACACACACAGACACACAGACAACAACACACACACACACACCAGACACCACACACGAACACAAACACCACACACAACACAACAACACACAGACACACAAGACACACACAGACACAGAACACACACACACACCACACACACACACACACACACACACACAGACACCAACAGACACACAACAGAACAGACACACACACACACACACACACAACACAGACACAGACACACCACACACAACAGACAACAGAACACACACACACACACACACAGACAACCAGACCAACACCAACAAGACACACAGACACACACACACACCACACACACACACACACAGACCACACACACACACCTATTTGTGGAGGAGGTGTGACTGATGGGGGGGGGCGGAGTCTCAGAGCTTGGAAGAGGAGATGAAAGAATCCACTCCACCGGGTCAGCAGTAGCTGTCTATGAAGTCCATCTCGTCTTCCTCCACGCTGTCGTCACCTGTTGCCATGGTTCCAGGCTCCCTCCTCCCTCCACAACTCCAAAACAAACTCTGTATCCATGTTCTTATGGAAACCACAATAAACACACACAGGTTAAATATGACTCTCCTCTCTCGTCCTCTCTCTTCTCCCCCTGGGTGGCTGACTGCAGTAATACTCTCTCTCTCTCTCTCTCTCCCCCTGGTGATGACTGTCAGTATAGACTCTCTCTCTCTCTATCTCCCCCTGGTGGCTGGGACTGCAGTTAGACTCTCTCTCTCTTCTCTCTCTCCCCCTGGATGCTGACTGCATGGTAGACTTCTCTCTCTCTCTCTCTCTCCCCTGGTGCTTGATGCAGTATAGACTCTTCTCTTCTTCTTTTTCTCTATCTCCCCCTGGTGGCTGATGCAGTTATAAGACTTCTTTCTTCTTCTCTTCTACTCTCCCCTGGTGGCTACATCTCTCCCC